TGTGGAACCAAAAATGGTTCTTCTACGGCATCGCTGTGAAGAACCGTGTAAGCACATTTATTTTTAAGCGTCTAAGACAATAATATGGGGCCTGAAGGACATTGGGGATCGTATATGATGGCAAAATGTTCATTCTTCCTGGTGTTCACGTGCCATTATTTCCCAGAGTGCAGAAAGTGATGCCATGCAGTCCAAATGCAAAACGGACCAAGTTTGCAGGTTCCAACCTCTCGGTGCTATCTGATTTTAAACATAAGTGAGTTTGGACTTGGAGGAAGTAATTATTGTTTGAGCAAAAGCATATCCATTATCTAGAGCTTCACTCGAGTCCTGAATGTACGTCACAAGCCAAGCACAGGGAGAGGCCACGTCTCCTAATTTTCCAGCGATTTTAGGGCATCTATACCCACATGAATGAAATTGTCCAAGCTCATTTCATTACGTTCGCTCGTAAGGGGAAGAATGCAAAGCATGCAACATTTTTTAACATTAATGCACGCATCTGCTCATCCATTCACGGTTTCCTTAAACGCACCGGTCACAGCATGCAGTTAAACGAGGTTGATGAGATAAAAGATTCAACATTTATGGATTTGAGAAAGAAGAGCGCATTGTGTATCATCTGTAGTGTGGGAAAACCCTTCTGCAATTTAGATTCTGACACTTTAGAGACGATTGCTGCTAAATATCCCTCTATTCCTTCCTGTGTTCAAAAACGCCCTCCTCTTGATCCATTCATCTTCCTCTCCATCCTGAGCTCTTGACGTATTTCTCTTCTTCTCGCTTTCTAATCCATGGCATGGCTTTCTTCTGAGTTTAGCCATCCCTTTTGTGTTTCTGCTGAATTACAAGAAATATGTCCAGACCACTGCTGAAATCAAAAGACATTTTTTAATTATTTTTTATTTTTGGATTAAGAAGATGAAGATTACTTTTAGGGCCATTAAGATTTGTTGCTCCCACACCCAATTCTGATTAGCGTAATGCATCTGGATATTCTGCTTGTCTTATTTCTCATTACTTTTCTTAATATTCTCATAACTGTTATTGTATTACAGTAAAAATGAGAATAATTCATAACATTTACAGCATTTGTAGTATTAAAATTTTTGTATTATTTGCAGTACAACAAATGCTACCATGATGAATAGATGAATAAACATTTAAATAAAGCACCATTTTTATCACTTTATAATAGTTTGAATCGGGAGGGAGGTGTTTAACTTTAACACTTTAACGCAAAAATCTTAAATCGTCAAATATTTTCTTTATGCAAAATATTTTTTCTTTTAATTTTGGGGTTAATAAAACCAACTGAATATTGTCATGTTCACAAAATATTTTCTATTTATGCATTTTTGTGACCTAATCACATTTCTTCTTTCATAAACCTTTGTGCATATAAAAAGTGTAATGTCTGCCCACAGAATATGCTTCTAGTGTTGCTCTGACAAATTCTTACTTCAAATTTAATTTTAATTAGATTTTACATTTTTTTTTCTTTAAATGCACGTTACATTGTACTGTGTTTTAGGGTTGAAGGAAATGTCTCTAAACTGATGAAGTCTTGTTTTCTTAAAGTCTGGAGGAAATGTGTGAAGTGACAGTGACGTTAAAGCGGGATTTTTGCAGAGTCGGAAAGGAGGGAAGAGCAAGATTTCCAATTAACAGTGCAGCAAATTATTCATGAAATGAATCAATCAAGAGGAGGTTCAGTGTGCATGGCCTGATTCACTTGGAGCTTGACAATATTGAAAAGGTGGGATAGAGTTGCTTGATGTGTGTAAAAATGTACGTAAATGCCTTAATCATGAATCTAAGCTGCTTAAAAGAGTCCTCACTAATGTTTCAGAGATGGTCAGGAGTGCTGACACTTTAACTGTAAAGCTACTAACTGATGCAGTGATGTTCCCCTAAAGCCAAATAAAGCCATTTATCAACCAAACACTGCCTCTTTGTCTCTAACAAACAGCAATGCTATTATTACTATTTTTAAGTAGCAGCTCAGTTGTCTTCAAAGTAGAGCATTTGTTGTTTAAAGGGGTCATAGGATGCTACATGCACTTTTACAAGTTGTTTGAACTGAAATGTGTGTTGGCAGTGTGTGTACACAACCACCCTATAATGATAAAGATCCACCCAGTGTTTTTTTAAAATCTGGTTAAATGTTT